CTCCTGTGGGCACTGGCAGCGGGCGCGTGCCAAGCCGACTCTGCATCGCCATCTGGGCCGGAGGGGCCCGTGTTCAGGCGTCCAAATTGGGAAGCTCGGAGAGAAGGGCACCCTGGTTTTCTGAAACGGATGCCGTTCCGGGAGGTTCTGGGCCTGCGCTTGTAAAGAAGACGTTTCCATTCCAAGCCCTGCACCTTCTGCCTAGGGTTACCAAAGCAACCAGGCACCTTCTAGATGTTTGGGACTCCGGCTCCCATTGTCCCCTGCTGTGGGCCGTGCCGGCAGGGGCTGATCTGATCTGTAGTCTTAAACGCTGAAAGAGAAAGGCAGCTAAATGCGATGTTCTAGGCGCCAGTCTCAAATCGGAAGTGGGAGGGGAGGTTCATCCCTGTGGCCCTCACCCTTTTCTCTCTGGTTGGGCAAGGCACCCACGTCGTCTTCCCCAGCGGCAGGTTGTAATCCAACTGGGGGCGAGGAGGGCTTTTGCCTGGAGCCCCGGACGGCCGCCGTTTCTGGTCATTGTAGGCCACACTGCTCCGGGGTGACAGCAGATCCTAGCTTCGTTTCTAAGTCAGCTGCTTGTTCAGTCCCATCTTGCTTTTGACTCTTGAGGACTAGATTCCTGCTTTGCCCTAGTTTCGTGGGAGGAGACCGGCTGATCCCCAGTGTACCCAAGTCGTGCCAGGAAAAGATCCTTGTCTTGAACACCTCGGAGGCGTAACCTTAGGTTTCATGAGCCTGAAATTCAACTCAATGCAAGACAAATTTCTATGTCCCATTACTTGCCCCCTGCTTTTTCCTCAAGGTGAGATGGCTGGCATGCAAACCCAATACTACGATATATTGCTCGCTCCTGGGCGCTCCAGGGGGATTTTCGCCATGTATGGAGCCTCTCTGTTCAGGAAGAGTCTATCCCGGAATGCCACATGTGGGAAACGTGGACTTATAAAACTAGAAATTTATCTCTTGTCATTTTTAAAGGACACAGTGGACCCTCCAGGCAGACATCAGGTTTAAAATGTGTGGCACTCGGAGAAGAGTTTCGGCAGGTATTTTAACAACCTGTCACATACCGTGGGAGTTTTGAGAACGGTACACGGCTCCCTCCCGTGGGAAGCCCGGCTGGCCTCTTCCCGGTTGTTCATTTGCCCGCAGGTGGAAAACTGATTTATTCCAGTGGACTTTGAAAAGGGAACAGATCTGTCGCGTTGTTCATTCATAAGTCTTTCTTCCTGTCGTTCGTTTTTCTTTTATGAATCAAGGTTTTGTTTTTCACCAGACCTAAGTCAGCGGAAGAAGCCGGCCTCTGATAAAACGGGCTAGTCTTTAAGACTGAGAGTGAAGGTGTCATCAGGGATTGTACGCAAGGGGAACAAGGTTCGAATCCCCACTCGGCCACTGGACTGATGGCCGTGGTAAAGCCATGATTTGAACATCTCACCTCCTTGAAAATCTGGTTAGGGTTGCCTGTAAGTGCCCGTTAAGTCAGAAACGACAGCAGGGAAGGAACTCAGAATTTCAGGGTGTTTTTTAACTGTGGTCTGAGCGCAGAGCTGGGAGTTCTAATCACGAGGTCTAAGCTCCCCCCCTCCGAATCTAACACCAGACCCCACAGCAACACCATACAGGATGCGAAGCCACTCCTGCAGATGGAATGGCCCCCACCCCTCATTTCCTGCTTATCCCTGCCTGGACGCAGCTTTCCTGGCTTTCGGGGTGTGGCGAGCGAGGTTCAGATTGCGAACGATGGAAAGAATGGACAGCTTTTCCCGCAACGCATTACAGCTAGCCCGACGGATGTGCAGAATGGAGGGATGTGGGAGCAGGTGGGAACAGAAAAGGGGGCAGGATCCAAGAGTCAAGTTTTCTACATCAGCCCTTGTGGGAATCGTCATCCTGTCAATGGATGTATTTGCTTGTTCCATCGGTACTCTTGTCTATTTCTGCTAAAAATAGCGCTGAAGCGCTATAGTGCTCAGATCCTTGCTAGGAACGCATGAAAACAAGCATTAAAAACCGGGGGGGGGGATCAGGAAACCTGAAACCCATTCTAAAGGAGTTTAAAGAGGCCCTTGCACATTTTCTAGAAGCATTCTGCAATTTGGGACGTATCCTGCAATTCTGCAATTATCCTGCAAGAAGCGGATCTCCGGGAATCATGGAAGTTGTCAAGAATCCATGTTGGCGGGAATGGGGAACCGACCTGGGAATCCTGGGGAGGTTTTACTACCGTGGGTCTGCATGCATGCCACTGTAGAAAGCCCTGTGTTATAATTTCCCCGGTTGATTGGATGGGGAGCTGCTACAATGGGCGATTATTTCCCCTTCTTGTGGGTTGGGGACTGGTGGTGTGGTATGTGGGTGGCCACAGTTGGCACAGGGCTGTGAGATGACTTAGAAGCTGTACCCTCTGCTTGGCACTGCTTGGACACACCCTAGGATTTCTTGACGACCAGGGACCCTGACCCGTCACTCAGCTGACTCCTCTGTGCTCTCGGAGTAGAGCTGTGTTTCGCACAACAGTTGCGGGCAAAATGGATTTTCCCAGGTTGGAAGCTTTCTTGTGGAAGTATTTTGAGGATGATTTCCTTTTGTATGGGCATTAAGAGCTGTTATCTTTACAAAAGACCTGCTCTCCATTCATTCATTCATTCATTCATTCATTCATTCATTCATTCATTCATTCATTCATTCATATAGGCTGATCCAGCTGCCTGCCTTTGAGGGTGGGTAGAACAGGGTCTGGAGACTGTCACGATGACCCCTCTTCCAGCATTTCCAGTAAGCCACTGGTCACGGCCCTGTGCTTCTCCAGCAACAGGATATGGCAAGACATGGCAGGCCTCTCTGTTCAGGAGCTAGAAACCCAACCCAGCTTCCATTCAATTCTCCCGAGATGTGTCTTTTCCACTATGACGTTCTCAGAGGGATAAAATGGGAAGGGGCAATGTGGTCCAATGGATAGAGCATCAACTTTGCATACAGAAGGTTCCAGCTCGAACCCATATTGTTTGCAATTCCCAAAGGGGAACTGGCCTTGTGAAAACTTGGTGACAGAGACCTTGAAATTTTGCTGGCTGCCGGGCCTCTGACTTGCTGCTGGTTCATTTTCTTCCTGCTATTGTCCTTTGAACCCTGTTAAGTTTTACTGCTGCCTTTTTTTTTTCCTTCCGAAAGTCTGTTTGTGTTTTGTTCTATTTTTAGATATATTTGCATCCTGGCGTTATATCGCTAACACACCTAAGTAGTTACACATCAGTGGGGAAGTGTTAGAACGAAACTTGAGAACACCCACGCCCCAAAATCCAGAATGATAGATCAGCCAAGATTTAAAAAGATCTGGTGTGCTGGATAGAGGGAAAGGCTGAGACTCAGGAAACCTGAGTTCGAATCCCTGCTTGGTCATGAAAACTCATAGTGGGGGATAGAACTGGTGAAACCATTCCTTAAATATCTCACTAACTTCGAAAGCTCTGTTAGGCTCTCCATCAGTCAGTCCCCACTTGGTGACACATAAGCGGCTGAAACAAGATTTGAAGAACAAGAAAGGGCTCTCCCCAAATGGAACAGCCCATGTTAACAACCAAAGAGCGGGCCTTTTGCAGACGTAATGGCTCTAAATTGTTGCTCAAAATCAAACAGTTCGATGTATGTAGGTATTACCAATTCCAGCCCTGGATTTGGTACTGTTGTTCATCATGTGCACACACCTGTCTGTCTGTCTGTCTTTTTCAGTGTGTGATGGAACTGGAGAGGGTGGTCTCTGACACGCTTGCATTTTTTTTTCTCTCCAGAACAGAGCAGGAGTTTCATCCCAAATGGGAGAATCCTTCCACACTTCGAGTTACTTGTTTGAATTCCTGAGCTTGCTTTTGGCCTACTGTATATGCTGGGAGCGCAGAGTCCAGAACAGAGCAGGAGTTTCATCCCAAACGGGGGAATCCTTCCACATTTCGAGTTACTTGTTTGAATTCCTGAACTTGCTTTTTGCCTACTGGATATGCTGGGAGCACAGAGCCAGGAGCAGGGTGGATGATTCTCTCCCCCCCCCCCTCGGCCACCCTTTGTTGTGGTTGATTTAATTCCCAGTCACTAACAATGGCCGGCCAGCTACCTTTCCCTGTTCTTTCCTTCCGGTTCTTTGAATTCTGGCTTGGTTAAGATCTGGCCTCATCTCATTTTATTTTTCCATTCCTGGAGTACATATTCATAGCATTTCCGATCTTCTGTGCCCGAGGCCCAGCAAATGCCGCCCCCCACTTCTTTTTTTTGCTGCTTCTCAAAATGGGTGAGGACGGCGATCCTCACACCTTCGAACCCCGGCCTTCAAGCGTGTTGATCAAAGCAGGCGCAGAGGGATCAGAGCAGGCGGGCATGCTGGCGGGGCCGTCCTTTTCGAAAGCTACCTGGACCTCAGGCTGTACTGTACGTGGCATCAATCGGTCGATCAGTACAGAACCTTCATCATCCCCTGTCGGTTTCACGCGTCAGTTTCACTGGCTTTCCTTAAAGGCTCTTGGGGAGGGGGGGTGAGTTTTCATAGCTTCTGTGACAATATTAAAGATCCATGGATAGTTTTGCTCTTTTAAGTTTTAATTTGTAAACCCGTCCTCAGTTTTACAAACACAAAAAGGTCTTTGTTTGGGCTGCATTAAAAAAAACACACACACAACCCTCAAAAAAGTAAATAAGATGCCCAGAGGTGGTTGTACTGGCTTAAGTCTCCTTTGAAAACAAATGCCTGCAGGTGGAGGTTGCTAGAGTTTGTTGGGGGGGGGGGTTGCAAAATGAAACACAGCCCCCCCCCCCATTTCATGCTTCTCTCTGAATTAATGCCAAGGATATTGCTAAACCCCAGTGGAAGTGGAAGAAAAAGTAAATAAGATGCCCAGAGGTGGTTGTACTGGCTTAAGTCTCCTTTGAAAACAAATGCCTGCAGGTGGAGGTTGCTAGAGTTTGTTGGGGGGGGGTTGCAAAATGAAACACAGCCCCCCCCCATATTTCATGCTTCTCTCTGAATTAATGAATGTATGCCAAGGATATTGCTAAACCACAGTGGAAGTGGAAGGTCAGGGTTTGCAAAGCATGGCAAGAACTGGCTTAGATGTGGGGAAACTGGTTTTGGATTGAGCAAAGCTGTTCTAAAATGTGCAGTACTGTAGGTTTAAAACATACCAATAACTGATTGATTGAAAATTGATTGAAAATATTTCTACCCTGCCTTTCTCCTGAAAAGGACCAGCAGTGCAGGCACATTGCAAGAAAAGGCTGCAGGGTCTTAACCCCCAGCTCCTGGGGACGCCCGGGGAAAGCAGCTTGGCTTCTTCAAGAAAAGCAGGACCCGAGGAAACCCGACGGGTTTCAGGGTGCCACAGAATTCTTGGGTGGTTTTGCTCCATCTCAACGAGCCATTGTGAGCGAGGCCAAGGAGGGCCAAGTGGGGCCCTCTGGACGTCTTTGGACTACAGAGCCCATCAGCCCTGCCTAGCGGAGCCAAGGAGGGGGTGAAGGCTTGAAGGAGAAGAACAGAGGACGGTGGTGGCGGCTCTCGGTGCGGAAAGGGGCGAAGATGAGTAAGCCGGTGGAGGCTGGCGGCTGCGTGCTTTCTTTCTCTCCCTCCGTCTCCTGCCTTCCTGCATCGTTTCTCTCTTGACCTTTTGGCTGTGCTCGGCTGCAAAACAAAGTCCCGTTTCTTTCCTCCCTGGCCCTGCTCTCCTCCTTCTCCTCCACAACCCGTGCAAAGGCTGAGGTGGTGATGCTGGGAAGGGTCACAATTCCAGGGTGCCTCCTCCTCCTCCTCCTCCTCCACAACTCGCGCAAAGGCTAAGGTGGCGAAGCTGGGAAGGGTCACAATTCCAGGGTCGGGACCCTGAGGAAGTTTCCCCATTTCACTCCTGGCCAGACCAGTTGGAAAAGCCCCCCCACCAGGATCCTGTGAAATGCCATGTTTTCCTGATAAATAATAGAAAACGTTCTCGATCCATTAGGTGCTTGTAGTTATGTGCGGTGACATAATTTCTGACTCACAGAGACCCTGTCCATTACTGGCCTCCAGGAGGCCTCCTCCTCAAAAGCCCTGGTTAAGTTTTGCAAACAAAAAGTTGTGGTTTCCTTTACTGGGTCTGTCCCTCTCATCTTGACCCTGTCCATTACTGGCCTCCAGGAGGCCTCCTCCTCAAAAGCCCTGGTTAAATTTCGCAAACGAAAAGTTGTGGATTCCTTTACTGGGTCTGTCCCTCTCATCCTGGGTCTTCCTCTTTTCCTACTGCCTCCAACTTTAACCTTAAACACGGACGTTTTTATTAAACTCTGATAACTAACAGTGTCCCGTAGACTCTCCCAAGCCTTAGTTTTTTTCTCTCTAGGTTTTCCAAAAGCCATGGCAACCTAGGGGCTGTTGAGCTTCCTCTTTGTAGCCAGGAGTTCCGTAGGCTCACTATGTGCCACCCATTGGCTGGCATAAATCAAATGTCTTTCTTGCTTGAGGCTGGTTGTCTCTCCAGCCACACACACCCTGCCTCCTGGCCTTGTTTTCCACTGAATTTATAGTTCGGTGGAAAACAAAATGACTCTTTGTTTTATCCCAGTGTTGCTAAGATGCAGGGAGGAGGGGTGGTGGGGACAGCTTGGCCCCGCGGCTCAGCGTGGGTGGGGGGCGAAGGGCGTGTTTAAGGCCTCCCCAGCCGAGAATCTCCAGAAGTCACCCACAGGCATTCAAGAACCCCTTTCGGCCAAAGAGCAAGGGGTGGGTGGGTGGAATGGGCCCACCTCCATCCCGAAAAGGGGCCGTGGGGGGGGAGGGGCTTTGACCTTTCCAAAAGTGGCCAGAACTGCTTGGAAAGGCCAAGCAGGAACTCTGCACGCGTCCCTAGCGACTCTCGTCAAGCGGGCACGGAGGCTGGGGGAACCGACAAATTGGGTGACGGTCCTGAATGGAAACTAGGATGCGGGAAGGAGCGTTATGAATTTCGGCATCTCCTCTCAGAAGCAAGGCTGAGGATTTGGGGCTCAGAATAGCTCCCGATGTGGGAGGCTCTTCCTTCTGCTCTTAAAAAAAACATTGGCACCAGCAGCAGGAGGTGTAAAAAAATGACAAGGGGCTTTAAAAACGGCTCTGTTCTTGTTTGGGGGCCTTGTGCTTCATTGGCCATATATATATATAATTAAGACAACCCACACTTTTCCAAAAAAGATGAAACAGGTTTAGGAAACAGGTTCAAGAATTCGTAAGTATGGGGCTCTGAATATGTGAATGTGTGTGTGTTTTAATATATATATAGTATGGTCCATTTGAGTCTAAAGGAGAGGCGTTAACCTGGGTGACGATTTCTAAAATAAGAACAAAGGTGTTTCAGGATTTTCACCCTTGTTCCGATCCAAAAACCCTTGACCCTTTTCAGAAGGTTTGCCGGGAGGCTGTGTTGCTATTAATTGCCATTTTTCACACCGTAAAATATCCCAGCACCGATATTGATAAATTCAAGATATATCCCTTGCTTGCAAGTGTACAATTTGAAACAGCAGTAAAGGAAACATGGAAGTGGAGGGCAGAGGAAAACACCTGCGCTCCAGCCCAAGAAAAGAGAAGGGAAATCATCTTCGTGACTTGCTTTATTCCCCATTGCATTTCCCCCCCCCTCTGGTGAAAAAGCATCCATGGAGCCAAGGAGAGATTCTTGCAAAGGACTGGCTGGACTTCAGTGATGTCATGGCAAGGTCACGGACTGTTCCATCCGTCCAAGAAAGGTGTGGGGGGGTGGATGGTCACCCGCGGGCACATTCCTGCACGTTGTGGCTTTGAAAACGGAGCGGGGGGGCAGATTTTCACCTGCAGGTGTTTTTGCAGGGCAAAGATCGGGTGGAGACTTGTCTTTCCTCCCTGCCTGGGCATGGCTAATGGGGAGGCTTTCCTTAGCTCTGGGGAAGAAACCCCCTCCCCGTTGCCGGTTGCTAGGGAAACCTTCAGGGTTTCCTTAGCAACCAGACAGGGACCTGAGGCGTGGCTTCTCTTTTAAGCATCTGCAGAGATGGTTCATCCGCGTCCCCCCCCCCCAATTCACTCCACACCCGGATCTTTCCTGTATTTGGCACAATTAAGAGATGTGGCTTTTTTTCTGCCGAGTTCTTTTCAATGATTATTGTAATTTTATTATCCATTTATGTTCTGATTTTGTGGGTCAGCTAAAAATCCAAATAAATAAAAAAATTTAGAGAAGAAATGAAAGGCTTGGGGGGGCACCCCTCGGCCTCCCCAAACATCATCGGGGCTCCGGCAAGAATTGTGTTCCTTAATTGGCATGCAGACTTTGTGCAAAAAACATAAGAGAGGGAATGAAAGAAGGTATAAGGTTCAGATTAAGGTAAATGCAGAGCAGACTTTGAAGTGGAACCAGGAACACAGCAACGGGAATCCACACACAACCTTTCCCTCCCCCCCCCCTCACCGGCCGCGTGAATTTTTACGGCGTTGGCACCTTTGTTATCTGGGCTTCCCACCAAGAAGCTCAAGGGGGTGGGTAGGATAAGGCCTTTATCCTTCGCCCATCGCGACGGCCCTGTGAGGTAGGCCAGCCTGAGAAAGAGAGAAGGAGGGACTGACTCATGGCCGCCCCATTGAGCCTCGGGGGACAAGGCGGCATTCGATCCCAGGACTTCCTGATCCCAAGGCCAGGCTTGAAACTAGGGGCGGATAAGAGCTGGGGAGGGAGGGGGGGAACAGGTGTGTTTGGACTACATATCCCATAGCATCCTGGCTGGAGCTGATGGGAGCTGTGGGTGGGAGGGCACAGGAATACCCACCCTCGCTCGAATTCAGAGATGGAGTGTTCCCTTCCGCTGAAGGCCTGGAACTCAGGGTGGGAGGGGCCCATGGGCATGGGGGTGGGGCCAGAGGCAAAAGGGGCAGGGCTTAGGGGGACAGGGCGTGCCCCTCCAGGTGGGCTGGGTTCGGCCCGAGGGCTGAGGTTGCCCACCTGCTCTGAATAATCCGCCTCTCCTTCCAGACCCCGGCTGGGCGTCCATCAACCGCGGGGTGTTGGTGTGCGACGAGTGTTGCAGCGTCCACCGCAGCCTCGGCCGGCACATTTCCATCGTCAAGCACCTGCGGCACAGCCCCTGGTCGGCCACCTTGTTGCAGGTGGGTGCGCCAACCCTTCGGGCGGGACAAGAGGGGGTGGTGGAAGGGCGAACATTTCCGAGGTGGAGGGCTGCCTGTGGGGCCTCCAGGTTCCCCTTAGAGAGGCCCTGATCAGCCTTTTCAGGTGGGACCGTCTCAAACCCCACATGGAACGAGGGGGTCTGCGGAAATACTCCCCTCCCATTCGCCACGGGTGAGCAGAATGTTTCCCCAGGCGAGTGCACCATCGGAGGGGTTTTTTTGCCTGCCATGGCTAAAAGAAAAAGAATCAGGCAGTCTATGGAGGTGTGCTCGCTTTTATATGGGTTTCTGGAAGGGAAAGGAGCAGCATCTCCTCCCCTCTTTAGCACAGACCTGGCGAGGGGAGTAAAAATCTCCCCACCCCTTTGCCATCAGAAATGTTAACTGTCGATCAGAAATGATTCAGATTCTTTTTGAAAAGCATAACTCTTTCCATTATAAAATGGGAAAACAAGGGATGGCTTTTAAGCAAAGCAAGTGTAATGTCACTGACGACCTTTTCCAGCCTTTTGGGGACTGTAACTATGAATGGAATGATGGCTGGGAACTGTAACTTTTTTTAAAAAAAGTTACCTTCTGACTTGAAACTTTACTTTCTGTCTTTTTTTTTTCCAGTTAGTGTCCTGAAATCATAGAAACCTAGACATGTCGAGTAGGGAGGGCTCCCCAGAGATCATCTAGCAGCGGAAACTTCTCCCTGCTGTTTTCCTGCTGGTGTGTGTCTCCCCCCCCCATTTACTGGTTACCTCCCTCCGTTTCTCTGCCTTCAGATGGTTCATACCCTTGCGAGCAACGGAGCCAATTCCATTTGGGAACACTCGCTGCTGGATCCGGCCCAGGTTCAGAGCGGGAGGCGCAAAGCGAACCCACAAGACAAAGTCCAGTGAGTCCCAGGCGAAAAGAGGGTGGCTGGGACGCGGCACAGGTCGGGACCAGTCGGGACCAGGCAGGGTGGAAGGCTCTCCCTTCCGCACGGATGGTTATTTTAAAGAAGGGTCTCGCCTTCCTCGTGTTCGAGGGAACCGGTTCCAAAGCTTGAGGGGGGAGGCATTACAGGTGTGGCCGGGCCATTTGAGTGGATTCTGGGAATTGTAGTCCAAAACGACATTGCCGAACTCTGATCATTAAAAAAAAAAAAGATTTTAATGATAAGTGGTTAATGGTTTTGCCTCCCCTGTTTTGAATTGGATGCTTAAGAAGCAGGCAGGCCCAGTTGTTGAAGCGGGGAAGGGTAAAGGGGTGCCTCTGGCCATGTGCCGAGATTCCTGCCACCTTCAGGAGTCCACGTTGCAAAAATAGAGGCAGAAAGGGCTTCCAGGCAATGTCACAAAGCTTTGCCAACAAATGTATGTTTTCCAGCTGGATCTGTAGATTTGTTTTTTCTTCTTCTCTCCAATGGCTTCTTCTCTGTTACCCGTTCCTTTTTTATTTTGCACGCAGCCCCACCAAGTCTGAATTCATCCGTGCCAAATACCAGATGCTGGCCTTCGTCCACAAACTTCCGTGTCGGGATGATGATGGCGTGACCGCCAAGGACCTCAGCAAGGTGAGGGCGGGCATGACCCGGAGGGCGCTTGGCTTGGAAAGGCTGCCAGGAGCCATCGGCGAGCCCGGTGGCCGCCTGGGGACCCCCCAGGATGGAGTTCAAAATAGATTTCCAGGGTTGATAACCTTGAACTACCTGTTTTTTTCTCCCCTGCACAGCAACTGCATTCGAGCGTCCGGACAGGGAACCTCGAAACCTGTTTGCGTCTCCTCTCTCTGGGAGCACAGGCCAACTTTTTCCACCCGGTAAGACCTGCCCCGCCGCCCCCTCCCCCCCAAGGGCCGGCCCTCCCTTGGGTCTGGGGAAGCGATCAAACTTGGGGGGGCCCCTAAAACCCTGATTCAACCAACGGTCATGACGGTTGGGGTGGGAAGCGCCAGGCCAGAGGTAGCAGAACAGAACAGCCTATCATAACAAAATAGGCAGCATACAGCCCCTGTGCCCGTGAGATTCGTATCTGTGGTTTCACTTCTCCGTAGGCTGAAAATATTGAAAACATTAAAAGAAAAAACTTAGAAATACAAATTTGCAGAATGTCATTACCAGAACTGGCCCTAGATGGGGTCAGACCCCATGATATGGATAGGGTTCGGTATAATCCAGGTTTCGGCATCTGCGGGAGGGCCCTGCTGTGTCACTGAATTTGTACCAACGAAACCCCACATTCTTCCAGGAGAAAGGAACCACGCCTTTACACGTCGCCGCCAAGGCGGGCCAGATCCTCCAGGCTGAGCTGCTGGTGGTTTATGGAGCCGACCCCGGAGCCCCAGATGTGAACGGCCGGACCCCGATCGACTATGCCCGGTGAGACGTAGTGTTTGCTTCCAGCTGTGGCCGGCGGGTCCTTAGGAGGATAACATGGAATGGAGACCAGTTGTGCTCTGCCTTGAATTCACGGCGGCCAGACTCTCCTCCCAGGAGTCATTCCACCAAATTTCATCATTTCCAGCGCTTTTGGTTGGAGGGCTCTCTGAATTTCCCTTCCTCAGGGTGTTGGCGTTCTCCCCTTGGGGGGGGGGCACACACCGCATCTCACCGTCCACTCTCTGCGCCTTGCAGGCAGGCGTCCCAACATGAGCTGGCCGAGCGCCTGGTGGAGTGTCAGTATGAGCTGACGGACCGGTTGGCTTTCTACCTCTGCGGACGGAAGCCGGGTAAGGCCAGCGGAGGCGTGGATCGGGTGCCGAAGGAGGAGCAGGTTCCGGGGGGACCGTTGGGATGTCAGAAGGATGGATTCAGAATGGACGCTCATGCCGCTCGCTTGCAATGCAGCCTGCTGACAAGCATTAATTAATTAATTAATTAATTGGCATGCATGCATTTAAGCCTCATCTGGCAAACCTTCGGGATCTCAAACCCACTGGGAAACTGTTTTTAAAATTCCTAGAAAGAAAACTCAGAAAAATATTTCCCCTCGATTTTTCTTTGCCTTTTTTCCTTCTGGGGGGGGGTGTCTTTGCTTCTTTAGGGGAGTTTTTGGAAGCTGGCTCCGAATTTAGAAATATGAATTATTTTGCACTGTGGGTTTTGTTTTGGTTTTTTTAAAATCTTGCCTTCTTTTTCTAATCCGTCGGTGGCTGGCTTTTTGCTGCAGCCCCGGGCACTGATGAGCACCTGTCTCAGCAAGCAGCCCACGATATTTTCCTAGCACCTATTTTGGAGATGAGCATGCAATCTGGGTAAGGCGGGTGGTGGGGGAACGGCTGGATCCTGAGGGACGGAAAGGCCAGCTGGATTGCGTACCCGGGTTTTGTTTTGGGTTTGGAGTTGGATTTTTTTTTCTCCTTCTTCTTTTCAGATCACAAGAATGGGCATTACATCATCCCACAAATGGCCGACAGGTGAGCCTTCCCCCCCACACACCAAAAAAATTCAGCCCTATTTTTAATTTTAGGGGATGTCAGTGCTGCCGCCTTGTGGACATTGTCTGCATTGCATGTGGCCCATTTCCTGTAGAGAGATTCAAAAGCCCACTTATAGGGAATCCCTCCCCCTTAATCTATGGTTAGAGTTTTTAATTCCTCAAGAAGCAAAATGGGGGTCTATTTTACATAAAAGTGCTTCTCTCTTTTTTCGCTGCCCCTCTGGTCTGTCATCGTCGAAAGCAATGAAAATATATTAAAAAGGTCTTTGCTGCATATGGTACTTTTGGGGGGGGGGAATCAATATTTCAGTGGGAAAAGCTGATCTGTACAAATCACATCAGTGCAAAGCTTATCACACACACACACACACACACACAGTGCCAAGAGTAAAAAGATCACAGCATATAAAACCAAGGAATCAGGGATAATAAGCACAGGAAAGAAAAGGCTGTTAACTTTTTTAAAAGAACGTGCTGGTTCATACCCCCAAGATATTCTGAAATCTTTCCGTTCTTCCAAAAGAAACGTTCTCCAAACGCCGCGCACCCTTTCCCGTGTTGCTGTCGGCGCCTTTTTTTCCAGGCGTGCTTTTCTTAACATCTGCTTTTGTCCTCTTTCCTCTCCCGCTGCCTCTCCGGAGTTCAGAGTGCATCCCAAATGCATGTCTCAAAGGTACCGAGGGGTCGGTTTTCTGCATGCTTCCCCTCCCCTCCCCTCCCGTCTCGGAGGGTCTCTCGTGTGCCTTTGGCTTGCTTTTCTGGAAGGGGTGTGTGAGGGATGGCTGAGAAGGGAGAGGGCGAAGTACTTTTGCAACGGGGGGATAAGTCCTGTTTGCATCTCCAATCTCCTCAAATTTCCCAGGCTTGCTAGGTACCTCAGGGCTGAGAAGTTATCCCCAGGGTACACTGGGATCAGCATTTAATTTTCTCGTGGTCCAGCGGGGCCGTGCTCCCATTCAGGGCTGTAGCCAGGGTGGGGCACCTGGGACTTTGCACGCATGCCCTGGGGGCCAAGTGGAGAGGGTGCTGTTCATCCCAGAGGCAAAATAAAATAAAAGAACTCGTCAGGCGTCCGGTCCTCCCCTGCCCATCATAACCGAGAGGAGGGTTCCCCCAGGTTGGGTGGGTGGTCATCCTAGAAAAGTCATGCACGCAGTCAAGAAGTTTTTCTGAGGCTGCAGAATCCTGTCGTGTGAAAATTTAACAGCACGGAAATGATATTTTGGAGTACAAAGCCCAGCATCCCCCCCCTAGGCTGTCTGGGGGGTGTAGTCCAGGGAAAGGTGTGCTGGCGGACCTCAGAAAAAGAAATCTTTTTGAAAATATTTATATAGTTATCGAATCTTATTTTCCTTCTTCAACTTTTAGTCTTCGGCACTTCCACTTCCCCCCCCCCCATCGATCGGCTGGTTTTCCTCGTTACTTCCCCTCCCGCACCCCAAATATTTGTGTGGGGGTGGCTGCTTTTTTCGAGTAAAATAACCTGCAAATCTGATCGGAGACTTGCATGGGAGGGAGGGGCCCGTGGGGTAAAGAGTGCCNCAAAACACCCTTTCCCCCCCCCCCCCCCCGTGTGATTCATCCTGAAATGGCAAGAATGGGGATGATGATTATTTTTCCTTCCCAAGCCTGGATCTGTCAGAGCTGGCAAAAGCAGCCAAGAAGAAGCTGCAGGCGGTAAGTAGGCTTCGGAGATGGATAGATTTACCCCCCCCCCCCCCGTGTGATTCATCCTGAAATGGCAAGAATGGGGATGATGATTATTTTTCCTTCCCAAGCCTGGATCTGTCAGAGCTGGCAAAAGCAGCCAAGAAGAAGCTGCAGGCGGTAAGTAGGCTTCGGAGATGGATAGATTTACGGTTTTCTTTTTGTTTGTTTCGGCCAAAGGGTCACCCTCAGCCCCCCCCCTCCTACAGCTGAAATCCCATGGATCGGAGTAAAATGTGTCCCTGATTCCTCACCCTGTTTGAGTGACACACCCCATGGTCCCTGGCTCCTTCTAATGGCCAGGTTTGGGCAATGTTCTTTTCAGAAATATATATATATTTCTAGGGTTTTTCTTTTAATGGTTTTTAATATATTCAGACCGTGGATAAGTGAATCAGTGGATACCGATCCTGTGGATAAGGGGGTCCCTACTGTAGAACATCCTGTTGCTGAATCTTTTTTTTTCCCCTCTCTCTCCACCCTGCCCACCTCGTCACCCCTCGTAGCTCAGCAACCGCCTCTTTGAGGAACTGGCCATGGATGTTTACGACGAAGTGGACCGCCGGGAAAATGACGCAGGTGAAGGAAGGCTTTGTTGGCGGGCTGGTTTGGGGGCGCGAGTGGGTCTCTGAGGGGGAGGACGCAGAGAATCTTTGCGTGAAGGAACCTGTGGGGAAGTCTCTATTGGACCCACAAACTTTGCCTGGGCTACTTGCTTCCTTTCTTTCAGTCTACCTGGCAGGGTTGTTGTTATTATAAACGGGGGGAGGGAACCACCCTTCTTTGCCTGCAAAAAAAGGTGGCTGCGGCAAATGGCCTGCAAGGGTTTTTAGAAGCCACAACACTCGGGGGGGGTTGCCAGCTTTCGTGATTCACAGAAAGCGAATCTTATGTGCCCGTCGTGCTCCGGTGCATGGCTTGGCTCGCGTTGCCTGGCGTTGGCTGGCTGACGGGCCGCCTGGGCCGATGCCCGGGGAAGAAGAAGGGGGAAAAAGGAGGAGGAGAAAGAGGAAGAGGTGGCAGGGAAGGCCCCCGGCTGACTCATGCCGAGGCAGATCTGGACACGAACAGTGAGATGTTTGCCAGAAGGAGGCGGCCGGGCTCTGCCGTGAGCTGGCATTCGTGGCATGGCTGGCCTGTGCCCACAGGCAGAGCTTGGCCTCCCACGGGGGGGGCAGTTCACCGTTTTTCTCCCTTCCCCCCAAAAAAAAGAAAGAGGGGAAGGGAAGCCCCTCGGGGGGTGGGAATCTGTATGAAGGCAGCCCCTTTCTCTCTCTCTTTGGCCTCGCGCCCGCCCGGCCTCCGTGCTTACTTCCCCACCCGACATCGCCTGGCCTGCCCCCTGCCTTCCCCCTTCATTCTTGGCTAGCCTTGCATCCGTTTTTTTCCGGCCAAACACTCTCCCCCCCCCCCTTCAACACAAACGCCTGCCCACGGGAGTTGGAGGGGGGGGAAGA